GGGGTGTGCTGGGCTTTGTTTTAAAAGGCACATTGTTTTCAGCATGCTTGTAAAGCAACCTTAAGAAGAAAGTACAATCCCTCCACAACATTTTCTTCAGCTGTGCCTCCGGCCTACCTCTTGTTCAGCTGCTCAGAATGTCTGCCTTTGTTCCATTTTGTGAGTGCTTGCAATTTAATTATATTTAATAAGTGCCTGTTCAAAATGTATTGGTGAGTTACACAATTTTATAATAGATGAAAAGATTATACAATATTTTGAACTCACTATGGCTTCTCATTAAAGTATGGCAAATATTCTAGCATTCTAGAACCTTGCCCAGTGGCTTCCCCATCTCAATAGGGCTTAACTGCTGTTCCAAGTGTCTTTTTACCCTTGTATTATCACCAAGGCTTTTGTGATGCACATAAACAATTTGCAAACAGTTTTAAAACAAAATATTAACAATTTAATTTCCACATTCAACAGAATACATGACTTGATTTGACACACTTCAGCTTGACAGTTCTAATTAAAACAGCAAACAACAAATCTGAAGGATTTCAAACATCAAATTGTAAAATATCTGAAAGAATCTCACTAAAGGAGACGGGGAGGTGGGGGTGGGGAGAGAGTCAGATACCAGACTGGTACCCAGTACTGGGGGTAGTTTGCTATGAATATTATAAGTGAAAAAATGAAACCCTTTATTTGAATTTAACTGTAGAAAAATAATTAGCACTTAACATTTAGGTTCTTTTCAAAATGCAATTTATTAATTAACGGTCAATTTGTTTATATTCCTGGCCATCTTCTATAACACCAAAGCATTCTTCTAATTTTACCCAAAATCCACACTATACATCCCCAGGGAATAATATACATCTGAAGCAGTTTTGATGAATTCAATTAAAGCAAAACAGACAAGTCAGAGCTAATGACAAGATCAATAAACACCTTGCTGGGCTAACCCAGTTTTGAACACCTGTAATATATTAATCACACGTCTTTATGAGACAATTAACCCATTCATATCCCTACTCTGATCATCTTATTTTTTTAAAAAAAGTTAAATAAGGGATAGATACAACTACCCAGTCCTCATCCTATTGTTACCCACTACCTCCAGAGGAAAGCTACTATTATCCTCAGTTACATAACACTCCGTACCCTTGCTATACTGTTTTTCTACCTACTCAAAAAAGTGCTTTATTATTTTCCTTTATTTTCTTGCTCACAGCAAAAAGTTTTTAAAGCTAATTCTAGTTTTCCACTAAAACATAAACTGAGGCCTCTGTGATAATAATTGAATAAGCTAATAAAAGTAGTTCATAGTTCTTCTCAATGATCTGTGACTATACCCCAATGTTATGAAGCACATGCATAATTTGTTTATATCTGAACATTTAGCATCTGGCCACATGGCTCGATCATGTGTCAGCTGGGGAATGCTGGTTCAGAAAGCTCACTGAGACTAACAGTTTCATCTTTAAATAAGGTGAGAGAAGAGATGCTGGGAGAATGAACCAAGGGTCCGTGGTTATCTCAGGGAAAGATTGGCTCCCTAGAGGACAGCATTAAATGGGTGGAGCGGGAACACAGAAACAGAAGATGAAGCTAATGAGACAACAGAAGATCATCTGTTGGAACAGGACTGCCAGCAATTTCCCCCAATAAACACATCAATAGGTTTTTCCATAGCGATCAACCAGGTCCATTATTGGAGTTGTAATTAGAAGACTTGATTTTCATCACATCATAGCCTCCCACCTCCCCACACCCCGCACTCATCCAACAACAACACTAAACCTGTAATTAGCTTTGATAACCATCTAGTAATCAGGTATGGCATTTGTGAAACAGAAGATGCTGGTTGTCTACTGAAGCATTCAATAAGAATCCATATTGAAGGTGGGACATTAAAGTTATATAATTTTCAATTTCAAATAGAAATGATAAAGCTAATGTATCTCAAAGCTCTCCAGTTAAATTATCCTTCAATTATGATTTTTTTAAAAACCAACTAATCAATCACTGTTCTGGCTGTGATTCAGATAAATGGACTAATTCAAGATTTTCATTCTGGAATATTAACTGCTAAATACAGCAAGATGACAAATTCACCTATTTAGAAGGAACGTGATTCTTTTAGTGTGGGGCCATATTTTTCCACTCTAATATTCAAAAGAACACATTGTGGATTAAGGTTAGCTGGAGTAAAATTTAGCACATGAAACTTGCTTCCATTTTGATAGCTACGTATTATAGGTTAAGAAAGAATCCTAAAGAAGATAATGATAAAAATCAAATAATTTATGTGGTTACTTGAAAAAGAATCTTTCAGTCTTTCCAAGTACAGGCCCTCCTGACCTTGTGTTCTATTGGATTTGTCTGACAACAAGGGGTGAAAGAATTCCCCAGCTCCATTGTCTCAATGGTGGGATCTAAGAAAACACTGGCAGGGCTCATCAGAGAGGTTTATGAGCCTGCAATTCAAAGAGATTAAAAGGAAAAATCTACAGAGATTCTTTCAGGCTGAAGAATAACATTAAATAACTATTAGCAGCTTGCTTCAGTAAAGCTTACTAGAGCCCTCGCTGGGTCATTCACAACTTTTTGAAAGAGGAAAGGTTTTTCAGCTCCATTTAGGATACAATAAATATTTCTTATTTCTTAGATGAAACAAAATGTAATACTAGTCTCCTCCTGCCAATGACTGTAAAATTTCTAAAACAAATCTTTGTTTGATGTCTAAATAATCACCCTACTGAATCCTTTTAAATTTTCTAACTACAGTTAAAGTTAAATTTTTTAAAAAAGCAGAGAAGGGATGCTTAAAGTTCAAACATTATTGGGGGAGAGCTGAAAAGCCTCAATAAACCTAACATAAACAAAAAGATCAAGTCCATCGGAAGCCCTGCCATTATTCATGTAGAGCAGTGATTCAATATTTAAAATACAATTAGATTATTGGTATATACACAATTTTCTAATTTAGCAACTGGTCTGTTGAACACATTTTTATTTGAGTTGGAACTGTACATTTTTTTAAAGTACTTAAAATGTATTTCAAATAATTAAGTTACTTACATATATGTTAAGAAGGTGAGTTTCCTTGAAAACCAACTGTCATCTTCCTGTAACTTTATTTTAAATACACTTGAGATGTGTCATTCTTACAATTCATTAAACTACACATAATTAAATTTCTCACTAAAAGGTCTGAAGAAAATGGTTACTTTCACTGTCCTTGACAAGTTTATGTTAGAAGAAAAGCTTTTTTCTCCCCATATAAAGAACTTCATAGTGAGGCAACATTTAACTTGAAACCTGTTCATTAAATCATAAAAGCACTATAATCCTCAGCCAGCTAAATGTAAAGAGTCACAGCTACAAGGTTTTCCACAATCTAAGAAAAATTACAAACAACTTGGAGCTTAATTATGGACTTGGGGAAGAAATGCAAGGTTTTGGATTTTTTTTAAAGAATATGAATTGAATACTTGTGAAAAAGTACTATATTAAGCAGCAAGAAGTGGGATCTCTTTCTGTTCAGCTACAGCATAGGGAGAGCACCCAGAAAAAGGAGGACCCAGCCTGGTCCACAGAAACGTTCATTCCTGGCTCTGAGGAAGAAGGTGGTTTAGTTCCCACGGCCTGCATTTGATGAACACACTGACAAAGGGCCAACCCTTATCTCCTCTGATTGCCAGGGAGTCCTACTCCACCAGGAAATGAACTGAGGATCAATCCATTTCTCGTGTTTCACCTAACTAAGCAGCCCAATGCAGCAAGGAAACAACTTCTGGTCATTTCCAATTAAGTCTTGATTTGGAAAGTAATATGAAGCTAAAAGTATTCAGCTATTATCAATGCCATTAAATGTGTTCATCACAATCAAAGCGACAGACTTCATTAATAACTAAGCCTTAGATGGAAAGCCAACTCAAGAGCCTAAGATTCAATGAATACAACTCTTCAGCTGTGATTTTTAAAAATCAAATTGTAGCCCATCCTTAATCACCAAATGAGTAATATATACAAAGTGTTAATGAGTTCAAGACGGAATAACACACAGACACACACACACATCCATCCTGTCCCTGTGTATTCCAGCAGTCTTATGT